CATCCATCCATCCATCCATCCATCCATCCATCCATCCATCCATCCATCCATCTATTCTTACTCACATGTAAGGACAATTTAGCATCACTAATAAAGACATGCATGTTTCTAATGGGAGGAAACTAGAGTACACGGAGCAAACCTTAGCCTGCAAAAGTTAACATGTAAATTCCACACAGAAATTCCCAAACTGAAAGTGGCTTTCATGCCTTTTTAAATCAATATCCACTAAGAAACTGAGATACTTATATAAATGAATGAATCTCCAGTTCACTATACAAACTATCTGAGAAAGAGGTGACTGCTGCTCACAAGAGCTCCACAGAATTGCATTAATTATCATTCTTTCCACAGTTAAATCACGAAGCATAAAAAATGTATATATATATTAAAAGATTTCAAAAGAGTACCCTAAAAAATCATATTGACTAAATACTAATAGGTTGATGTTGGTTCACCTCTTGATCAGTGAATATGTCAATGAAATTGCAGAAAGAAAAGGATCCAGACTGAAGAATCAGCTCCCCAGTTTTTTCTGAGCACTGCCCTGAAAGGACCAGCAGCTTGTGCCTGGCAGCGTCGGAGATCATTAAACGAACCTGGGAAACAAAAGAGCAAATCATTATAAGCCTCTCTGATTGAAAAACCAATCACATAAATGATTTATAAGCCTGGGAATTATGAGAAAGAACAAAGCAAGAAGTGAGTCGTAGTGCGCAGTCAACATAGTGATCCATTGGGTTTGATATTGCACCAGTTTTTGTCACTCAGTTCATTAGCTAAGTAGCTGACTGGTACTGAGCTTTCTTCCATCCATTGACCATATCTCTCTAGCTCTTCTCCTTTCTGCTGCTCCTTTATTCTACCTCAGCAGCCTCGGCTGGTCTGGGCGCCCGGCCCAGTCAGTCCTGCTGTGCTGTGATATTATTAATGCTCATTTAACTTCAGACATGGATGGTAGCGTGGAGTCAACCCTGTCAGGGAGCAGTGACACAGGAAACAAAAAAAAAAAGGAATCACGTTGGCTCTTAAACCTTTTTTGTATCCTTCTTCCGATCAAAGTGGATCAACCAGAAAGCAAAATGCAAAAAGACAGCACTTTGGCAGTAAACAGATAATTCACTTCCACCATTTTTCTTCGTCAGTCGTGTCAGGTTCAAAACTATTTCCTGCTTTTAAGCATGTTAACATATCTGTGAAACACCCTCACAGCTGTTAAATATGGATGAGTGTGTCAAGTGAACAAAAGCCAAGAGAAGAGTGAGTAAATCAACAACAGATGACAGCTCATTTTACCTCAGTGCTGACAGCTTCATCTGAAGGGTTAATGAGCACCACCGTCTCCAGGATGTTGCTTTTATGGTGGAGGATTCTCTGCCCTGAACACAAAGAAGTGAAATGAAAAACACAAATCCCATAAAGAAACACTGGTTTAAGCCTGAATATTGTCACAGCATATCTAAAACTAAGTGTATTTAAACTGGGAGGAAATACTGAATAAGTGATTTGATCAACAGAAAGCTACTTTACTGCTACTTTTCTTATTTTAAAAAATAATGAAAAGAAACCTAATATCTTTTTGTGATGGTAGATTTTTCTGTTTTATTATTACATTATACTTCAGCTCTTTGGGAGTTTAAGATGTCATTGTGATAATTAGGACCAAAAGTCTGCTTACAAACATAATGACTAAATGATAAAATTTGAATAAAAAGTCATTCAAAAAGATCACCAATCAAAAGATCAAAAATGTTTTTAATAACTATTTACACAGACTTGCATATACTGGTAGAATATGACTCATTACTTTTATAATGATGATGATGATGATGATGATGATGATGGTTTGGTCCATAATACATAAAAAAGACAATAAAAGAAAAAGACTCATTACAAAACAACCCTATATCCTTTAAGGAGATAATAATGGCCTTTACAGCTAAAACAACAATCTCAGTAGCATCAATAATAAGACTAAATAACACTCAGACTAAATGGTTGCTACAACGAAAGAAATCAATAACAGCTCATAAAACAATCCCACAAGTCTTCGCCTGGAACAATGGCTCATGGGAGTTTAAAGCTACTATTTTTCTATTGGTGTGTTCCTTTTGTACTGAATGCTAAGGTGCTGCACTGTCCCCTACTTCCTAAGTCCACCACAGTGACTTTGATGTAGTGACTGGACAAATAAACATTTCAAATAGCGCCAGTGTTACCAACGTAGCAACGTTTTTATATAATTAATAAAATTTCAGATCCCTCTAGTGACTATTAAAAAAACAGATGAAGGGATGTTTAGGTGTTATTGCAGATTTTTGGAGACTGCAGTTGTGATGGTATGTAGACTTTCCAACAAGAAGCAATGGGCCCATCTCAAAGCACTCGGCTCTCATGCAGTATCCCTCCAACCTGCTGTCAGCTGGAAATATTCACATCCAGACCCTAAACGACTCGCACATGCTGCTGCTGATTGATCCACTGCGGGATGTAAAGGTAAGCATTTCTAAAATAAAGCAATACACAAAAACAACTGAGTGTATTTCTTACATCATTTTGTTTTTTTGCCAGTCCCAAAGCCGGACAGAAGACATTTTTTTAAAATTGTGACATTAACAAAATCAAGAATCGACAGATACAGGTGCTGGTCATAAAATTAGAATATCATGAAAAAGTAGATTTATTTCAGTAATTCCATTTAAAAAGTGAAACTTGTATATTATATTCATACATTACATACAAACTCATATATTTCAAATGTTTATTTCGTTTAATTTTGATGATTACAAATGACAACAAATGAAAATCTCAAATTCAGCATATCAGAAAATTAGAATCTTGTGAAAAGGTTCAAAATGGATGGCACCTGGTACCACACTCTAATCAGCTAATTACCTCAAACCACCTGCAAAGGCCTTTAAATGGTCTTTCAGTCTAGTTCTATAGGCTACACAATCATGGGGAAGACTGCTGACTTGACAGCTGTCCAAAAGACGACCATCGACACCTTGCACAAGGAGGGCAAGACACAAAAGGTCATCGCTAAAGAGGCTGGCTGTTCACAGAGCTCTGTGTCCAAGCACATTAATAGAGAGGCGAAGGGAAGGAAAAGATGTGGTCGAAAAAAATGTACAAGCAAGAGAGATAACCGCACCCTGGAGAGGATTGTGAAACAAAACCCATTCAAAAATGTGGGGGAGATTCACAAAGAGTGGACTGCAGCTGGAGTGAGTGCTTCAAGAACCACCACACACAGAYGTATGAAAGACATGGGTTTCTGCTGTCGCATTCCTTGTGTGAAGCCACTCTTGAACCACAGACAGCGTCAGAAGCGTCTTGCCTGGGCTACAGAGAAACAGGACTGGACTGCTGGTGAGTGGTCCAAAGTCATGTTTTCTGATGAAAGTAAATTTTGCATTTCCTTTGGAAATCAAGGTCCCAGAGTCTGGAGGAAAAGAAGAGAGGCACTTCATCCACGTTGCTTGAAGTCCAGTGTAAAGTTTCCACAGTCAGTGATGGTTTGGGGTGCCATGTCATCTGCTGGTGTTGGTCCATTGTGTTTTCTGAGGTCCAGGGTCAACGCAGCCACATACCAGGAAGTTTTAGAGCACTTCATGCTTCCTGCTGCTGACCAACTTTTTGGAGATGCAGATTTCATTTTCCAACAGGACTTGGCACCTGCACACAGTGCCAAAGCTACCAGTACCTGGTTGAAGGACCATGGTATCCCTGTTCTTAATTGGCCAGCAAACTCTCCTGACCTTAACCCCATAGAAAATCTATGGGGTATTGTGAAGAAGAAGATGCAATACACCAGACCCAACAATTCAGAAGAGCTAAAAGCCACTATTAGAGCAACCTGGGCTATCATAACACCTGAGCAGTGCCACAGACTGATCGACTCCATGCCACGCCGCATTGCTGCAGTAATACAGGCCAAACGAGCCCCAACTAAATACTGAGTGCTGTACATGCTCATACTTTTCATGTTCATACTTTTCAGTTGGCCAACATTTCTATAAATCCTTTGTTTTTATTGGTCTTCAGTAATATTCTAATTTTCTGAWATGCTGAATTTGAGATTTTCATTTGTTGTCATTTGTAATCATCAAAATTAAACAAAATAAACATTGAAATATATGAGTTTGTATGTAATGTATGAATATAATATACAAGTTTCACTTTTTAAATGGAATTACTGAAATAAATCTACTTTTTCATGATATTCTAATTTTATGACCAGCACCTGTAATTGTTCATTTGTAGTTCTATTTAGTCTGTTTATTCTTACTTCCAATATGTTCATATTTGGGTAATTGTACAAATGAAACGATAATGTCATGTTTTCTAGAAACTTTTAGGACTTTATTGTCTCCGTGCGATAGCAAAGGAGGAACGTGTGTGTGTCTGCATCTGAACAGAAAAACACCAACAAAATACAAAAAAGAAAACGTCTCTTTCTCATCTGTCTTCTACTCAATTCTCATCTTCTGTTTTAAAAAGCCTCTCATGAATGTGGATTGTCTGTGAACGTCACATCTCTAGTGATTGTTTGTACAGAAACAGGAACAACTAAAGAAATTTCTATTTCTGCTGTTATATTCATTTATTATTTTCAATACCTTTTTTGTGATTTTAACAGAATTTGATTGTTGATTGACTAACAACTATTATTAGTAGTATTACTTTCTTTGTGTTTTAGATCGAATAAAAATCTATTCATCCATCTGTCCATCCATCCACTGTATCTATCTATGATCTATAAATGTATCTATAGATACATAGGTACATATGGAAACACAACAAACAATCCCCTACCACTTGTCAGGTTAATGCTAAAACAGGAATTACACAATCTTGTCTTTTCTCTTAAGTCTTGGTTTGATTTTTTTTTAACATTTGTGGCTCATTCTCATGGGGACAAAACACAGACTGCCCACCCTCAGTTTTAAAGTCTTTTTTTTTTTGAAGAGCATCTCTCAAAAAGTAAAAAGATCAAGTAATTAATCAAACAGAGATGACCTGGCAGCTACAGTACCGCTGCGTAAATGTTAATGTTCCCTGCAGCGCGAAGCATCACTAAGATGGATGAAATCTCTGAAGGCGGATGTGGAATTTAACACTTCCCTGAAAATGATTTCAGAATTTAACGCCTTCATCCATCTTTATTTGAAGACACCATTTAGCTTGTCTACAACGTTTTTATCCTACACGATGACTCTGTCGGACCAAAATACAAATGATGGGGTGCGAAAGGCTCGCCATCATCCTGAGTTTCTGGTGATTGATTGTGATAATGATCGTGATCTTACTGCTGGTCTGTGGGAGTTCTTAATGAACACTTCAACTTCAACCAAACGAACCTTGCCATCTTTCCTAGAAAAAACTTTAATCAAAAGATCAAAAACATTCTTTTCTGCTGAAAACAAAAAAGAGTAAGCACAGTAAGTTTCTGTTTATTGTGCTGTAAATTATTCGGTTATTTATTTCCTTGTTTAACTAGTTTATTTTTTCAGTTTAAGTTCCTGCATCACTGGTTGTTTGTTCCCTTATAATTCTCCTCACAGCTGCACCTCATCTGCTCACCAAGCTCACCTGCCTCTCCTTCCACTAATCACCCTTTCCTGTTTAAATATTTACTGGGTTCTCAAGTCATTTGTGATATCCACCAGTTAGATGATTCTCTGTTTTGCTGCTCTGCTCCCTTCCGTGTGGTTTTATTTATTGATATCTTGTTTTGCTGCCTCATCAGCTTTAAAAAAAAGAAAAATTATTATTGAAGTTTTGTCCTCATGTAACCCTGCTGCCTCCTTGTCTGCACTTTGGACCCATCTAAACCAGTGGCTGCCAAACTCTACAGCTTTTAACTCATAAAACATCAGTAGCAGAGAGCTGCACCTCCAAATGTTTTTGGTTAATAAACATTGGTATCAGGTCAAATAGATAAGGGCATAACTATATTTATTGAGCTACTTTCATCCATTTATAAGTACACTGACCATACACCATTATAACAACTGAGGTAGAGCATTGTTGTTAGTAATATTTAAATAATTAATTATAACAATATTTAGAAATTCAACCTTGATGTTTCAGAACCCACAAGTGGGATCATAACCCCAACTTTGGTAACTATTGGTCTTAACCAATCTAACAAGAACATTTAAAAACAGAATTAAGTAATAAGAGGACATTAGTATTTTCAAAATGACACTTTAATTTATCCAATGATTTTATGTTTACACAGGATTGTTTTGTTGTGGACATTTTGCTTCAAGATTAGATTAAATAATAGTGAATATTTTCTCTGCAACAATAAGGTTTTATTTGGATGTGAACAAATTAGGGGGGCCAACTCAGTGCTGGCTCTAGCCATTTT